TAGTAAAATTAAAAACTTTTATATGTAAGAAAAATCACATATTTTACTAATTATAATTAGTAAAAAATTTAAGTGTTACATTACTTTTGATGGCCACTGTAGTTATACTTTTAGAATTTTATTTATTCAGAATATTATTTATTTAAATATTAGGTTTCTAATTTTTTAGAATGATATTTATTTGAAAGTTTAAGCTTTTAGAATTTCAATCATTTAAATTTATAAATATTCAGATTTTATTAATATATTTTATTATATTTTCTTTTATAATATTTTTATTTAAATAATATATATTATTAATTTATGTGTTTTTATAATCCCTGCTTTTTAGATTAAATATATCTAAATATTATAAGTTATTTAATAAGTCAATTAATTTTAAATAATTAAACATGTTAATTAATTAATAAAATAATAAGAAGTTTAATAATTAATCTATAAAATCAGTATTTAAGTCCCATCCAGCTTAGAATTAATAGGAAAGCCTTGCCAATGTGCTTTATGCTATAGAATCTTTCAGAGTTAATTGATGGATGCGTAAACCGCATGAACTATAAGACTCAAATAATAAACCGAACAATTACTTTGATCCAGAATTTATATTTGTAAATTTTTTAATCGTTGGTTTCATTATTATTTTAAACTTCGAAGCAAAAAATTCCATTTTTACAAGATCATTTCTAGGTACTATATGCTATCCCTTTTTCTACATCATTTCATACTTAATTTAAAAAACTGCCCAAAAAAATTTATAGCTTAAGTCTAAAATCATGTAAAACAAAGGGATATACACGCACAATAATGATAATAGTCTAGGCTTTAAGGAATCGAAACGCCCAAGAGTTCTGCGATTATTTTCTCATAAATTATATATGCTGTTTACAGAGAAAAAAATTCAAAAAATTCTGTACCAGCCATTTCATAATTGTTATGCATGTTAAATAAAAATGATAATAACTTTTTATTTCTATTATCGAATTTGTTACCGTTATTAATAATTTTCTAAAATTTAGTATACATCTTTTTCTTTTATACAGTTATTTATATTATAAATAAATTTGAAAACATGTTATTTGCACAGCAAATGATAAATCAATTAATAGAAACAATATTTTAAGTGAAAAATTCCGAATAAAAACTAATTGCTTTTTTTTTATGGGGGGAAGGGGGGAAAGCGAACAACCAGGTTCACTTGGCTATATATATTTTTATATATATATATAGATTTCTTTTTGAAGGAAAATATAATACAACGTTTTCTACATCAACTCCCACGTAATTGGGATTCGACCTTGAGACGGATCTGCAAGTTGGTTGAATACTGCCGGCGACATATCTACATCTCCACCTGCGCATTCTGGGCATCGATCTTCAATTGTTCCAATAGCTGACTTTCCATTATAGTGAATTTTTATTTGTTTACCGCATAGCGTGTTATGATTCGGATTACCGTTAGGAGTATATTGATCAAAATATGGAGCACCCATAGCCACTATAGTATCTGAATCACTGTCAGTCTGTCCACATGCGCCCAATCCTGGGTTATAAAATGTTCCTGATCCGGAATGTGTGCTAGTATCACCAGAGCTCGAAGAACCTGAGTTTGATGAGGTTGTGGGCGTGGGAGTGGGAGTAGGTGTGGTTATGGGCGTGGGCGTGGTTGTAGATGTGTGCGTGGTTGTGGGTGTGGTTGAGGTAGTGGATGTGTGCGTGGTTGTGGGGGTGGGTGTGGTAGTGGGTGTGGTTGTGGTTGTAGATGTGGATGTGGTTGTGGGTGTAGTTGTGGATGTGGATGTGGTTGAAGTTGAAGTTGGGGTTGAAGTTGAGGTTGAGGTTGAGGTTGAAGTTGAGGTTGAGGTTGAAGTTGAGGTTGAAGTTGAGGTTGAGGTTGAGGATGTGATTATGGTTGTGGGTGTTGGTGTGGAGGTGGGTGTGATTGTGGGTGTGATTATGGTTATAGGCATGGTAGTTTCTGTGGTTGTGGTTAATTCGGAACCTGAACCTGAGTTTGAACCTGAACCTTGATTAGAACTAGAATGGTGACCATGTCCATAATTTGGTTTTTTAGGTATTTTAGGTTTAGCTGGGATTCCAGGAACATTAGTACCATTAGGTTTATTTGGGATTCCAGGAACATTAGTACCATTAGGAATAAAGGTAGATTTATTTGGGATTCCAGGAATATCAGTAGGAATATAGGGAGCAATAGAAGTAACAATATCCACCTTAGAGGGAGGCGTAGTAGTAGTAGTAGTTGCCACCTTTTTGACTTTACAATTATGGTGATGTGACGAATTTTTTCCTTTGCAAGATGATTTTGAATGTTTTAATTTCTTTTTGATCCTTTTAGGGTGCGGTAATGCAAAAACGGCATCGATGATAAATATTGAAATGGTCAAGATAAGAAGTATTTTAGCAAGTGTGAACTTCATGTTGATAACTTTTAGTTTGGATTTTGTTACGTTTAGGTAGAATTTAATTTATGGTTATATTTATTTTGTTATTTCTTCGACTCAATCGAAAAATAAAATCGCGGTGTGTGGATAAATGGTTTCAAAATAATATTAAGACGCACAGCGCGGATAATTAAAAAGAATTAATACAGAAAACGGCAAGCCGTTTATTCTACTCAAGAAAACAAAGAGTAGTGGTGAAGTAATTTTCTGGTTGAAGAAATTAGCTCTTTATATAGAAAGTCCCATCTGTGATTCCTATTACATGGACTCATTTTTACACATTAATTCGTACTATCTTAACACAAACTTGGTGTTTTTGGACAGTTCAAAGAGTCTGTTACCGTGACTCCTTTTTGTAATCTGATTTTTTTGATTATGTTTTTATCTGCTCATGCAGTTCATTGAAATGATAACTTTAGAATAGTGCCATGGCTTTTGTGTTTATCATATGATTGGTGTACATCTCTCGGGCATATATGCACTGTATTTTTTTGTCGTGCAAATATATAACAATTACGTGTAATTTTTTTCTCTCTTTACAGACGGTGTTATTCATTTGGTAATTTGTTGATTATAGTATTATGCAATAGAAAAATTTCGTCTAATATACATGTAATTCGACCTGTTCAACTACATGAACATGTATTACCTTCCAATTACAGTAAGATGTGGATCATAATCACGCTGTCATACATTGAACAATAAAATGTAACGGGTTAAAAGCAAATCCTTCTCAAATGAGATGGATAAAAAACCAGATTTCAATATTTTGAAGAAACGAACAATCTTTTAAAAACACATGAAGTGAGTATTTGATTCGTTATTATTGTGATAATGATAAGCCATGCACACTAAGATGCAAGGAGTTAGGGTTAGTGTTATAAACAATTGTGCGGTACCTAAATTAAAGATTGCTAATATGGTATTTTTTAATTATGAAATGTTACCTTACTACCGATGATTTTCCTTCAGTTGAACGAAAAAAGATGATAAATGTAAACGAAAAAAAATTTTCCCCTCGTTATGTTTCAAAACACCAATTTTATACACCAATAAAATGCCTTAACAAAGCAAACTTTAATTATTCAACTGGTATCATTTTTATATGAATTTCCATCAGAATAGTTTTCATTTATTTATGTATGAGCAACAATAACAGTAAGACGCACTTACGCTGAGTTAACGCCATCATCATCGTACCTTTTTTGTTTGTTCTACTCCTCTTTAAGGCGTTTAGTTTTCCTTTGAACATACGCGCATGTATGTTGCCATGCATTATTGTAACTTTTCTGATTTTGTGCTTTTCGAGGTTTCATCTCATCCAATTTCTGAAATAAATAATGATGCAGGGTTTTTTTTGACGTATACATGAGATCACTACCTTTATCATAGATAATCGGAAGCCTTTTTAAATATAATCGGCGACGTTTTATTATTTCTCTATCATTCTAAAGTCAAAGATTTTTAAATTTAATCTTATTTGTTATGCACAAGTAGAATCGTAAAAAACAAAATCTTGGCATGCTTAATTTAATCAATGTACTCTTAATTGCTTTCACCATCAAAACGATTCATCAGTGTCTAAAAATGTCTGATATTTGCAAATAATATTCCTTCTATCAATAAATTTTTGACGTCATTCAAATTTCAGGATTATACGAAACGCTGATTAGCTAAAGAGTCTTTGGTGACAGACCATTCAACCACGTATACAGTTAAGCTATCTAATAGCTGAACTCTAAAAATCTAAATTCGATAATAAATTTATCGAACTGAATCATAGGATATGTGACGAAGCTAAATATTATACGTATCCAGTATAGTATAGTATAGCATCCGTATCATATACTTGTAATTCTCAAACTTCAATGAAATTAAATCTACATGGAAAGACATCGTTAATCGATAATAATAAGAACCTGTCTAAATGCATAGCATCGATGGACAAAAAAAGCAATTTTGTGCATTTAAACAGTATCTGCCAATCAAATGCTTTAAATCTTAATTCTAAATGCATACTACATGCAATAGTAAATTTTATGCATTTACACGGTATGCAGTATGCATTTAAACAGTATCAACTGTATATTCGAAAGTAACTGGTAAATCATTTGACCGGTATAAAGCTCTAGTTAGGTCCATACCTATCCGTCAAGTAAATTATTAATTAAAGACAATTTTTTGAAATTTTTGAGCTTGTTGAAATGCTTTTAATAGAAAGTTGTTAATTAATGAATCTTTTAGTAAAGCATAATAAATGCTCCATTCGTGAAAATGCTTGAACAGTACGTAGCTATATTGCCAAATATAAATATACACTCGGCGGAAGAAAGTATACGTAATTGCTAATGCTAATTGACACACGGAAAAGGTATGTTGAATCATCAAAGAGAAAACAAAATATAAAGGATACAAATGATTTCAGATTTGCTCTCAGATTTATTTAATTATTTTGATGATCAAAACTAGTTCTGAAATTTTCGTTATATAAAATTACTAAGAACAGATCATGCATTTGAAATATTCTGAGAAAATTTTATTTTTGTTAGAAAAGATATTGTCATAAAATATTTTTAACTTCTTAATATTAGTGATGGTGATTCTGCTAAAAATATTCTTTATTAAGTCATATATTTTTTATAGAGTTACTATGCTTTTTACAATGAACTAATGTAAGATTTAAAAAATTATATAAAATTATTTGTTATATCCAATATACACTCCCTGGTCAAAAGTCTCCAACCACCTGATTTAAGATTACAGATCATTAGATTTTAAACTAAGATTATGCCAAAACTATAAACTTTTGTTATTTAAGGTAATATATCCAGATAATTCACATAGAAAAATCAAGATATAATATTATATCAAGAAAGTTCACACAGAAGATT